TTGATCTTTGTTAGAAAGGGGTTTCACAATAGCAATCTGACGGAGCTCTTGATTGCCTTAAACTTCTTCAACTTGGCCTCAGATCTGTTCAAAATTTTTGATGAATAATGTTTGATATTTGATGAATAATCCTAATGTTTAATGGTTAAGAATCTGTGTTTGATGTTTGATGAATAATGTTTGATGGATGTTTGATGAATAATCCTAATGTTTAATGGTTGAGAATCTGTTGTAGAATCTGTGTTTGATGTTTGATGAATAATCCTAATGTTTAAGGGTTGATGTTTGATGAATAATCCTGACGTTGCTAATGTTTGATGTTGGATGAATAATTCTAACGTTACTAATGTTTTCACCGACATTATACGAATAATTCTGACATTGCTAATGTTTGATGTTTGATAAATAATCCTAACGTTGCTAATGTTTGATGTTTGATGAATAATGTTTGACATAAAAAGGCCTATAGTAAGATTTTAGAGAAATAGGACCTATTAGTCCAACAAAAAACCTTCGGGACTAAATGGGTTAACATTTTCAAATTTGGGATTTATTGGTGTTTTTCCCTTTTTTATGTGGCACTCTATTCATAACATAACGCGTAGTTAAAATTGCTTCTCCCTACAAATTTGAAGGAACACCTGCTTCAATTAGCATAACATTTGTTAAATCAGTTAAAGTTCTATTTTTTTTTTTTTTTTGCTACACCATTAGATACAGGTAAATATGGTGGAGTAGTCTCATGAATTATTCCCAAAGACTGAGCAAACGAGTTGAATCTAAAAGATTCATACTCCCGGCCTCTATCACTTCTATATCTTTTAATCTTTTTACCGAATTGATTTTCAACTTTAAGAAAGAATTCTTTAAATTTTTCAAAAGTATCACTTTTATTTTTCAACAAGTATACATAAGTGTATTTTGAAAAGTTATCAATAAAAGTAATAAAATATCTATTTCCACCACGTGTTAAAATTCCTTCAAATTCACATAGATCAGTGTGAATTAATTTTAATAATTCAGTATTTCTCACCACACATTTATGAGGCCTTTTAGTTATTTTTGCTTACTGCAGACTTCATATTTCTCAAACTTATTTGTTAGTTTGGGAATTAATCATAAACTACTCATGACTTCCACATATTGGCTATTAATATGACACAAACAAGCATGCCAAAAATTCATAGAAGACAGCATGTAAACAGAAACATGTGTTTTCTTATTCTCAACATTTAATTTAAACATTCCATCACATGCATATCCTTTTCCCACAAATATGCCTTTTTTAGTGATTACATATTGGTCAGATTCAATAGTCTATTTGAAACCAGCTTTGTTGAGCAAGTAACTCGACATCAAATTTTTCCTCATGGATGGTGTGTATAACACATCTTTTAAAACAAACACACGTCCAAAAGTAAATTTCAGCTCAACATCCCCACACCCGAGTACCCTGGTTAAACTGGAGTCACCAAGCATAACAGTCTTCTCCTCATTAAAATAAGTAAAATCCTTGAACCAATCTTTATCATAGCAAACATGCCTATTGGCACCAGAGTCTACTCACCACCCTTCTACAGATTCAGCCATAAAAATATCTGTAATCATAGCCACAAATGGTTCCTCGGTAACATTAGCCTGTGGTTAAGATTGTTGTTTCCAAAATTTGCAAGTTCGAGCAATATGTCCACTTTTGCGAGACACAAAACATGTCACATTTGTCAGATCTTGTGAAGGAGGTTCTTGGTTCTATTTCTTTTGCCTCAGGTAATTTTTATTTTGTTGCCTTCTAACATTTTTTCAAATTTTCTTAACTGGCTTCAAGTGACTATTTTTATGAAATCGACCTTTAGGTAAAGTATTTCCAAAAGTTAAATTTACTTTTGCAGTGGAATGCTTTTGTGTCATAAGCGCATCTTGTCCTCGTGCTTTCTCCTCCACCTGAATCCGTGTGATTAGAGTTTCCAAGGACGTCTCTTTTTGCTTGTGACGCATTGACCTTGGAACTCCCTCTAAGATGATGGTAGTTTGTCAATAATACCTGCTACAATAAGATTGTCTCTAATTTTGATACTTTTGGATCTAACTTCAGCCACTAGCATCTGAAAATCTTGAATTTGCTCCACCACTGATTTTCCATCTATCATTTGACAGTCGAAAAAACGGCTTGGAGCATATTTTTTAGTTCTTACCTCTTCAGTGTCATATTTATTCTGCAAGGTTTTCCAAATTTTCTTGGCAATGGTGTAAGTAGTATCGTAACAATCATAAAATTGATCTGAAAGACAATTCAAAAGATAGTACTGGCATTTATACTCATCTGTGTTGTATTTCTCGATTTTTTCAAGATGAGCGTCATACTCGTCGTTGGTCATCTCTTTAGTGGAGACTTTGTTCGGATTTTTTTCTGTCAGGATATAGGCCACCTTGAGGAGACTGAGATAGAAAAGCATATTGCCTTTTCATCTCTTGAAATGGACTCCCTTGAACCGGAAGGGCTTGTTGAAATCATCGGTATTCTCGTTGGGCATCTCCAATATTGGCTCCATGAATTTTACTGTTTGAATCTCCTTAAAATTGTTGGTGATAATTACAAATATAATTACAAATAAAACACCAGAAAATACAACTAAAAAAAATTATAATAACTATTGAAAGGGCTGAGGCACGGGAAACTCGTTCTCTTTAAGAAGATTCAAGCCCTCCGCGGTTAGGCAAAGCCTCACACCGATACAGCAGAAAAAACCTTGACTTGTCCCCCCAGGATACAACAGTCCGACAAAGTCATATGATTCACCAATACTGCACAATTGGTTGAACCCAAAGTTTTATCACATACATCATTTATTTCTTTGCCTGATAATCTCACACAAATATAATAAAACAACAAAAATTTCTTCTTATTTTCCAAGATAAGAGGTTAGCCCAATTTATAGGAGATGAAAGCCTGGTGAACAAGTTTTTTGGAGGATTCTTGGAAGTTGCTTGGAGGATTCTTGGAAGTTGCTTGAAGGATAAGTATAGGAGAGGAAGTTTGGTGAGAAAGTTCCTTGGAGGAGGCTTGGAGGTAAAGAAAAAGACTTGACTTAGGCAAAGACTTGGAGAGAAAGATAAGAAAACTTGGAGGGAAAGAAAAAAAAAAATCAAACTTATAACACATTATAATATTAGAATACCTTCTAACAGAAAATAATATGTATTTGAATTAAGAATTTAAGAATATATTTGTGGATAGAAAGGAAAAAGGAATAAAATGAAAGTTTCTTCTTTACAAATCTGCATTGAAATTCATGATCCAAATTCAAGGTAGTTCACTGTCAATCATGCCAAAAATAAATTATAATAATAAAAATAAATTTTTTTCCTACAAATTCAAGTTAAGGTAAAATTTATATACTAGATACCGAAAAAAACACACTGAAAAAAAATAAATAAATAAAATTAAGCCTTGAATAATGGAATCTGTCTGAAATCGATGTTAGTCACAAAGTAGTTGTGATTAATGATCATTGGATCCTCTCGGATTGAAATGGCTCTTTTGGAGCAACAAAGTTAGAAAGTACTTGAAATTATTACTTGCCACCATCAAAATCCTCCAAGTAATTGATAATTATAACAAATCTATCACTACTTATTATATGATATGTCATTACTATATTGATATTAATGCATGTTAAATATTACATCAAATGACAAATAAATTTGTCATAGTGTTTTTTTACATCCTAACATTATATAAGTAATTTTATTGCAGAATCCATAAGTCGATCACATAATCAAATACATAAAATAAGATTTTATCGAATTTACTAGTAATATACACTTTCAAAAATCCTCATCAATATCCAGCCTTTTTGAGTATTAGATTAAAAGTCACTTTTTGACTATTAACATATTTTGGGTCATATCACCTCTTTATTATTTTTACACATTTTTTTTTAAAAAAAAAAAAGCTAAAGTCAAATAAAACCAAAAAATAATTTTTAACCTACTTCTCAAAATAACTTATATATTTTGTATTTGACTAGGTAATTAATTTCTTTTTTTTTTTTTTTTATGTGGACGTATATATCAATGGAAGGAAGGAACCAATGTCAAGAGTCCTCAACAGCAGGGAAAAAGGATATGCAAAATGCGAGCACGCAGTGGCTTAGCCGGCATTAACATGTGCTCCCAACACTTTAATTACTACAGTCCTGAACACCCACATGCAGTCTTCTCATTTGTTAATAGGCATATTCAAAAATAAAATATTACAAATAAGTGATACAGTTTTAAAATAATATTATTATAGATGATTTTTTTTTTCTTTTTTCTTTTCACGCAAGAAAAGACTTATACCATACATTTAAAAATTTGAACCACACTTTTAGATTATTTGCCCACTGTCTAATTGAAATACAATTTCTCTTATTTCAAATAAGTAGGATAGTGAGAAAAAAAAATGGTGAAAACAAAAGAGTTGCATCTTGTAAATATTTTTGATCAAATAAGTTGAATTGTAATTTCTGAAAACAAATTATTTTCATGAGATGTAGGTCTCTTCTGTGTATGATACAAGTGCAAGTCTTTCTTATATTGCAAAATTTTACCAAAAAAGATTTTATCTATAGTGAAATTATTCTTTGATAAATTAAGACCCTAGAAAAATTTACCAGATTTTTGTAATAATTATAATAAGTGATTGATATTAAAAAGGTATATTGTGGGTTCGTGCTTGATTAAATTCGGACCACACATAATGTTTTTAAAAAATGAAAAGTTTGGGATCCCACAATTAGGGATCTAGATTTTATTCAAAAAAGTATATGTGGTGGAGATTAAATTAATGAAATGTAGGTTCACGAGTGAAATGATTAATTATTGCTTCTGGGTAAATTCTTGATAAATAATTCTAAATTTGTAGTATTATTGTTTAAATAAAATTCTAAATTTATAATATTACTAATTATTCTTTCCTTGTCCCAATAAAATGCAATTAACCCTTTTTTCTCAATTGCTACATCTACTTCACAACATCTGATCAGTCTACCCTCATCAATCACCACTCTCTCTCTCTCTCTCTCTCTCTCTCTCATCAATCAACCTGAGAATCAGAAAACCCTGCCACCAGCAGTAACCATGGAGTTCTACACAGAAGGTGACAAGTGGAAACATCCGAAGGATGAATCAACAAGTAACAACTATTCTCTCAAGAGGAGTATTTCTCAGAAGACCTCTGCCTCCAAGTCTCCATTTCTGAGGAGTTTTTCACTGAAGAGCTCTTCTTTCAAGTCTCCTCCTCTCTCATCAAGTAGTTCTTCGCCGAACCCAATCAAAACCTCTTCTTCTTCTTCATCTTCTTCTTCTCTATCAAGGAGTTCTTCACACAAGTGCTCTGATTTTGCCAAAAAGTGCAGTGGAATGGCCAAAGAACAGAGGGCGAAATTTTACATCATGAAGCGTTGTGTGAAGATGCTTGTCTTCTGGAACAACAAGAATGGTGATTCCTGAAAGATTAATTCGATATTTTTTATAATTTTTTTTTTTTTTTGGTTTTCTTCTTTGTGCGTGATGGATCTTGGGTTTGTAAGTGTTCTGTCATCCGATTAAGAAGAGACTGTAACAAAATTTTCTTGATTTTCTTTATGCTTTTGTCTATATTCAATTTTAAGTTCAATGATGAATAGAAATGTGGGCTGCAATTGATGCATATTGTGATAAAATAAATAAATAAATAAATAAATAATTCAGGCAATTAATGGTCTAAGTTTAAGTGGTCAAGCTAACCCTAACCCTAGCCCAAGTTCATATTGGTCAATTGTGGGCCAACAAACAATGGGAACACCATGTTCTACTTGCATATATAGAAGTCACAGTTTATATGAGTTGTTTACAACATTTTTCTGAGTCTGTCAGATTGTTTTAGAAGTCTATTTAATAAATTGTAAGCATAAATAACTTTAAAAATTAGTAAAAAAAAAAAATTAATTTCTTTTTTTGAATTATTATTTTTTAAACTTTTTTTTTAACGATGAAATCACCATATATTAATAAGCAGAATAACAGCATTACAAGTTATAATAATTTTTTAAACTTAGCTTAGCTTAACTTATAAAGTGTTATGCCAAATATGTCTATTATAGTTAGCTCGGACTCCTCCACTTTACTTCGAGACTTTTGTTTTATTTTTTTTGATTAAAATTTTAAAGTCGCTTGGCAAACCTATAAGTTATGGGTAGAGTAGTAGATTGATAATAAATAAATGAAACTTATTCCTAAAAATTTTATATGTGATGATGATGAAGAGAGAGAGAGGATTGCCTTCTTATTTAACAAGTAGTACAAAATTATTGTTGAGACCAGATTAGCAAATGGAAATGTACTACATGTGCCTGCCTTTACAAAACAGAGTTAACAGTTTGGAAATGTGATCATAAGAGCATATGATGGCGAGACCCCTAAACCATGTTTTAAAACAAAAAATTTTGAACTGAAAATCCAATGATATAGCCTCATGTATTTTTAGTACTTACAAGTTATAGGAGTGATTTGGAAAGTTGGTTAAAATTTAATTTTTTGATTTTTTATCTTTTTTTGAGTAAAAAATATGAGAGGTGATGTAATAAAAAATGGGTTAAAACTTTTAACTAACTTGCCAAAAGACCCATATTAATGTGTGTGTTTTGATTTAAAATTCATGATAAAAAATTTTACTAAAAAATTTATTTGTATAATTTTACTCAATATCAAATTTTAAAAAAATTAAAATTTCTAAATAAATTATTAAATATTTTACACATAAATATAGATCTCATGTGATGTAATTTCATACCCATATAATTATTTTATAAAATATTTAATAATTTTTTTAAGATATCAAATTAAATTATAAATTATAAAAATAAACATTTTTTTTAATCCAATAAAAATAAACATTTGACCGGTATTCTATTGTTCGTTTGGTGCAGCATGTGGTCTGGAAATTATCACATGTGCACGCCTGACACATACATTACTCAGGGTGGATCCCGTGGCCAGTAGTGGCCCACCGAACAATTGATAATCCACAAGCCTTCATCATCACCGAGGACATTTTAACGGGATACCAATTTACCGAACAATTGATAATCCACAAGCCTTCATCATCACCGAGGACATTTTAACGGGATACCAATTTTTTTATTAAATTTAAATAAAAATTTTCTTTTAATATCAAGTATTTTAACAGTGGATTTTATAGTTTCATCAAATTATTAGTTGATCGGCCAATGTACTTTTTTCATAAATTTTTATTTTGAAATGGTCATTCAGGAGATATCTGGTAATGAAAATCCAATGACAATGAACAGTGATTTCATAAAAAGACACGCTGGTCCTCAGTTAATAAAAGAAAAATAAAATTTTGAATTTGATGATGAATTTGATGAACCATTGGAAGAGTAAAAAGTAACTTTTTTCATCAAATTTAAATTTAATGATGAATTTGATGAACCATTGGAGATGGTTTACTATGATTTGTTTCATAAATAATAATTTCATTAAATTTTTTTTTTTTTTTGGAGATAAAAATTACGATTTTTTTTAAGCTAGTTTTTCAATTTTTGTAAAGAACAAAAATAAAAAACTAATTATAAAAATAAAATCAAACGGATTCATGATTTTTATATTGATGATTTAAGAGATAATTTTGAAAAATGTCAATTGATAATGGGTGTAAGAGTTGCTATGTATACGCATTCAATGATTAACAAACCTACTGAAAGAGAAGGTGAGGCCAATCCATCTCTAAACCAAGACTGACGCTTGATCAAAATATTGTTTCCTTCTGGAAACCAATTATTCAATGTCCTAAAAGTCGGTGGAAAATTATTGGATTTGGCTCTTGGGTAAATTACACTAATTTCTCCTAAAATTTATCATAATTACAGGTATATCTTCTATAATTTCAGCAATTACAGTAACTTTCTTTACTTTTCAAAATAATATCAAAATTTCCCCCTTTCGTTAAAAGGTTCCAGACAACGTTACCTTACATGTTAAAATATTACCTTTCAATCACATTGTGAAAAAACCAATACCTTAACCTGCACATTCGTTTATATTTATCTTTTTTTAATTAGTTTTTCTTCCACACATAAAATGCACAATTTCGTTAATTTTGATTGACTATTAATTAAATGACATAACTTTAATTGTTCATCATTATTTTTTGGTTTTTAAATTGTTTTATTTACACACAGTTTATGAATTTTGTGCACTATTTATAAAGAATAAATGAATATATATATATATATATACATTAATTATCATTGTACAAAAGTTGTTTCACAAGTTCCATTTCAATAATCAAAATCATTCTTTTGTGAAGTTCTATTTAATAATTGTAACCTTTTCAGTTTATCGTGTTTGTCTAAAATATATATATATATATATAAGGTATTTTTTGAAAATGGACCATGGTAGTCCCTACAAGTTTGAATATGACAAGTTGGTAATGCTCAAGTTCATATTTTAATTTGAGAGAAACCCAATCCTAATATTATTTAATTACTTGATTTTAAATTTTCTAAATTTTTTTTTTACATTGTGTAATATATTGATAAATGTTTCACAACCATCTTATATTATGTTTGATTCACTCGAATAAAATAAAAAAAAAGTGATCATTCTATCGTAATGTCTATTTTCATATTTGATTCACTAAAAAAATAGAAATTGTATTTTAAATAAAATCATCATTAACCTTTAAAAAAAATAATAATTGAAAGCACATTTTTTATTTTGTTTTTGAGAAATTACATGAGTTGAGATTTAAAATGTTATCATTTGACTTTTGCATTTTTTTATATTATAAGAATATAATAATTTATTTTTTATTCACTACAAGTAACGAATATAGTGAATAAAGAACCATCCTAGTAGACAATCAAAACTATAACAAAATGTGCTACGTACCAAAGCCGTAGCATTTTTACTCACAACAGTCCCTACTGTGCGTAAGGTGTAAAAGTGACCTCAAACCCCAAATCTCTTAAGTATGCGTTGTGTGAGTATGATAAGGTTAAAAGTTGTGGAAAAAAAATATTCAATAAGTATGTTTGTATTTGCAAATGAAATCTTTTTGACGGTTTGGGAGTTTGTTTGGGTAATTTTTAATTAATTTTGAGGGTTTTTTTTTCTATATTTTTAATCAAATATTGTTATTTATTGGATTGTCAAATATCATTACTTACTAGATTTGGAATATAGGGATTTTAACTAGATTTTGTTGAATTTTTATTTAGGGTTTTTATATATTTTAATATTATAAAAATATATACAAAAATTTTATTGGAATTTTTTATGGTGATCTTAATGAAATTTTACTGATATTTTTTACATGAACTTATTATCAATCATGGTGATTTTTTACTAAAATATGTTGAATTATTTATTTATTTAGTGTTTTGCTAAATGTTGTGCAATATTACAACAGATATGCGTGAAATTAAATGTTATTCTATTATTGTTACAACCACGGCGTCATTCATTTACTTGGATTTAGTCATCAACTACAAAGGCATGGTGGGCAAAGAGACAGCTTGGTGGGAAAGAAATAAAGTTTATGGAAAATTTGGGGAGAAATGGCTACAAGAGTGGGGAGTTGAGTTATAAGAAATGTGAGGGTATTTTGGCCATTTAGGTGTTTATTTTTGATGATGTCATTATATTTAGTTACTTTTGCAACGTCTTTCTAACAGAAGGGGGAATCATTGTATTATTTTGTAAAGTAAGGGAGGTCAATGTAATTGTTAAAATCATAGGAGAGGTACATGTAATTATGATAAATTTCAGGGGAGGTAAGTGTAATTTACCCATTAAAAAATTATCATGCTAGTGGATCATTTTTTTTTTTTACAAACAAATATGGTCTTCTTATGAGATTATAGATTTCTGATTAATCTTTTTTTTTTCATGAATGGTCTATAGAGGTAAGAACGATCTGGATTTGTTCGATTTGGAATAAAATCATGATCAATTTGTTGTCTACAATTTTATAAAAATTGGGACCAAATCAATCCATTTGAGTCACTGAATCGATCCAAACCAAACCATTCAAATACGGTTCGGTTTAGTTTAGAATCACAGTTTCACATATAATATGTTTACAAGAAAAATCATATAGTAATCTCCAAACAAACTAGTAATAAGCAAATATTGTTCAATATTAATCTACACATGATTTTCCGAAAAATAAACATATTGTTCTACTATTAACTTAAACAAACATAATATCTAGTAAATAAACATATTATTTAACATGTTATAAGCATAAAACTCCCATCAAATAAATACTATCGTGGCAACAACAATTACAAAACTAAAATTATGCTAAATAATTAAAAAATTATTTCTAGCAACATAGAAAAGAGAAGAAAAAATTGAAATCATATAAATTTTGATTTGGTTTTATATATAAAAGGGTATGATTGTATGCATTAGGGTGTATGATAGACATATGGCTTAAGTTATATACTAGTTCGATTCCAATTTAGAACCGTGGATTTAAATCCAGAACTGATCCGCAGAGACTAGTTTTCAATTTTCCAAACCAAAACCGAATCACGAATTAGAAAAATCAAATCAAACCTCTTGGATTGGACGGATTGTGAATTTTTCAAATTCTTCACTCAACTCCAATGATCTATTCAAACTATAAAATATAAACCATTTGAAACATCAAAATAAGCTAAGCCCCCATAGCCTCATAGCAGCAACTCCACATTCAAAATTATTAAGTGTCCACATTAATTCCTAATGATTTTTATTTTAGATCTTCTTCGCAAACATCAATACAAAGTATAAGCTCAGTTATATATGTGAATTATGTTTAATTTTTATGGCTGCATAATTTGTTAGAATTAATTTATGGGGAAATTACAATTCAATGTATGTTTTCAAAACAAATTTCAAATCAACAGTAATACTTATCAATTTTAATAATTGAAGTGATAAATTTTTCTGTGACTTCATATTTTTTTTTTCTTCTTTCAACTGATTTGCAAATTCTTCTTAATTTAATTATATCCTATATATATACACCATAAAATAAAATAATGAAAAAATACAATATCAAATTATTTATATATTTATTATAAAAAGGCATTCACATCACATTCCCATCTCTTAGAATTTTACAAAACCGCCTCCACAATTCTTCCGACTGTTGCTTATATATGTAGTAGTAATCAACAACAGCAACCACAAACAAACTACTTATCATCAACTAAATCCCCCAATTAAAAAAATAATAATAATAAGAAAAAGAAAAAACCTCCAAGTCAATATTTGTTTGCCTACACTCTCTAGCGACATTTCACAGCAAAAACAAAAAACCAAAAAACAAAAACAAAAACAAAAACAGTATAATAAGTTATAGCAAGGGGAAAAGTAGAGATAGAAGCTTGGAGGAGCCCAGGCATAGTCAAAGCTCAACATGTAGGAAGATCGGAGGGTGGAGGAAGCAGCTTTTGGTTTGGGAGATCACCATCCAACACTATCCATGCCATCCTCAATCCCCAACTCAAATGAACGTCAAAATGACAGTGCATAAACCATACACCTGTTTTCATCACCATATCATAATATTACTATCATAAGCCATCTTTGTCAATCCAATCATGGGAAATTAAAACTTGTGTTGTGAATAATTTGTTCAATACCAACCATCAGTTGTGACACTAATGAGATACATCTCATGCTATAAACTTTTTTTTTGTTTTTTGGTAACTCAAGATGTTCGGACCAGCTTGCGCACACCTCGATTAATCCCTGGGAGGCCAATCCTGCCGTCCACTAGCGGGAGGTCCATTTAAAGTCAGAGTAAAACTTCGTATGAACTAGCCCACTAGCGGGGGCCCATTAATGATATTGAATTATGCCATTTGTTAAATTTTTTATTTTTTTATTTTTAATTTTGTATTATACTTAGTTTTTTATGCCAGCAACGCCATTTAAAATCAAGAATAGCATGGTGATATTTTCCACACACAAAAAAAAAAAAAAAAAAAAAAAAAAAAAAAAACTGCAAAAAAAAATATCTTTAAAAAAAACAACAAACAAACTGCAACAAAGTATATCTTTTATGGAAAAATGAAATAAAGCACATATCTTGAGGACTAAAATGCAACAAATTCATAAGTTTTAATTTTGTTGAGACTTTAATTAAAATTTCAACAATATATGGCATTAAAATGTAATAGATGGCATCAAAATGTAATTAATTTTGTTGAGATTTTAATTTACCCAGCATTAAAATGTAATAGATGGCATACTCACTCAATTACTATATGGCATTTTGTTATATGAATAATGCTATATGTACTAATTAATATACTAATTAGTATACTAAATGTAGTATAATTTTAGAAGTTTTGGATATTTGTAATTTGTATAATAGGTGGGTCAATAATAATAGCATAACAATATCTATATTAATTGGTGCATGTAGTACCACCGTTGTTATATTATTGAATGTTTTTACCTGGATTATCGGCCTGGAAGCGGATCGCCAACCACCCACCGGATGGCACGCCAGCGGTATTCCGTTCGACTGGGTCGACAAGGTTAAACCTAGCAGGATCCTTCTTAGGATCAAAATTTCCAGAACCTTGTGCAATCACAAAGAAATTGTATCCATGAAGATGAAGAGGGTGGTTCTCCGCCCCCAAAATACTAGTATCCTGCAGCACCACCTCCACGGTGGTGTTAAAAGGCAGCACCACCAACTTGGTTCCATTGCTCACCATGGTGTTGTTAGGTGGTGTCCCGGTATAATTGAACGGCACAAGTGGAGTACTCGGAAAATCAGTAGTATAAACACCGTTCGATTTTCCAAAGAAATAAGACTGGAGGAGAGCAGTTGTGGGTAGAGAAAACGATATGTTGTTCATAGAAGCAGAAAATTTCGTCCCATTAGGCCCCTGACAAGTCTGGTTTTTCGGGCACGGGTTGGTCCCCAGGCCTACCGTGAAGAAAAACCGCCTTTGGACAGTTTTAGGGACCTTATTGGCAGGAAATTTAACAGTGTTCAAACTGCGAAATGTGGAAGTGAAATTTGCAACGAAGGAAGTCGCGTTGATTAAAGGGAGAATTGGAAATGGGAGGCCTAAAGAAGCGTTGGAAAAAGACGAAATGGACGGGTTTTTCCCGTACTCGAGAACTCCAACAATGGTGGTGTTGTCGAAGGTGCCTGAGGCCGCAGTGGAGTATGGGCTCGCCGCCATTAAGAAAGCGGTGTTGTTGGTGTTGGGGTTGGTTTTGAGTAGGACGTTGGTGGTTTGTCCAGGGGCAATTAGGAGAGTATCTGTTTGGAATGGTTTGACATAAACTGCATCTGCTTCGACAATTGTGAGGGAATGGTTCTGGATTCTGAAGAATAGATCGTCATTGAGTGCAGCGTTGATCAGGCGAAGAAGGTATGTCTTGCCAGGCTTGACATTGAGCTTGAATGTCTCTGCCAATGCATCAAAAACAAGTTAGAATTGTGTAAAAGAAATTTGTACAATAGGTCTAATTGAGGATTACCATTGGCAGAGCAATTGTACAGTGGCCCTGGAAGTCCGTTAATGGTGTATGCATCAGAGTTGTTTGGGCCAGCTCCAGTTTGCAGTGCCTGGTTGATGACTGCCTCTGTATCAGCATTCCACCACTCGCCTGTAGATTTTATGTATGAAATACAGACAATCATATGTTAGTAGATTTATAAGGCCAGTAAATGGGACACGATCTTTTGCACTTAAATTTCTCTGTCTCGATACTTTTTTAATTTTATGGGATGATAGGAATACGAAGACACAACCGTACCCAGAAAAATATCTAAAAAATTCGACAAACTTAAATTGTGTGCACCGTATTCATTGTAGGTGTGGCTCACAACTCATTAGGTTTGAATCTAAACCATATACTTGTTTTGGGACATATTTCAGGGTAAAATTTATAGATTATTATCTTTTATGTTAGTAGATTTAAGCCAATAAATGGGTATGAGATCTTGTGTACTTAAAATTCTCTATCTCGATATTTTTCTAATAACATGGTTTAGTGAGAATTTCAAAACACAATCGCTGAGAATGCATAAAGACAAAGAAACAAAGAAATTTAGGTACAAAAAATTCTTGGTTCAGTAAATGTGTTAGATGGTTACCGAAAAGGATGGGGACTTCCTTGTGGGGTTTGGGAAATGGGTAAGAAACATTGTGCTTGGGGAGGATGATGAGAGGTCCATAGAGGGTTGCTCTAAGCCATGAGATATGGGAATGCCAAAACAGAGTTCCCCTTTGCCCGACAATGGTGAAGTTGTACACATAGGTCTGCCCTGTTTGTATAGGGCACTGAGTCACATAGGATGGCCCATCTGCCCATCCACTCTGAAGTTGCCTAATTCCATGCCTGTTCTCATCATAAAACCATTCGCCAAAATCATAATTAGTGAACAGAGGAATAGTTAAATTGCGTGTTATGGTGATTGGTGATCATATATATATGTATGAAAATATAAAAACTTAGAAAAATTGTCAAGAAATTTATCTCGAATTATGATTTATAGTCTAGAAATAAATCGTTATCATACATTTCTTTTTTCAGTATTTTTTAAAGTAAAATTTTTGAATCCCTCGTATTGTTGATATAATACACGGTTCAAGTTTTGAGGACGAAATCCTGTGTCTCCATATTTCTTGTTCCTATTTCAAATAACTTCTCTATTACATGATTGAGTTTAGAGAGATCCATTGTGTAATTGAGAAATAGTTTAGGATAAAGAAAGGTTGAAGAATGAAGACGAGATCTTATGTGCAAATATATATATATATAGTTAGAGTTTCGAGCTTGAATTTGTTAAAAAAATAAATAGATAATTGATTAAGTAGTAAGTCTAGAAAACCATAAATTGTCACAAAATATATATGGATGGCAAAATTTAAAAAATGTATTCCACCAACAAATTATGTAATATTATTCATTTATATGCATTTCATGTAGTGTTTGATTTCTGTGTTCCTAGCCGAACCATCAAAGATAGTGGATGGTTGACATACCAATGGAAGCTGACATTGTTGGGAACATGATTGACAACCTTGATCAACAAACGATCGCCCTCTCTAGCAATAATCCGAGGGCCAGGAAACTTCCCATTGACAGTCAAAATAGTCTTTGTATGGCACAATCTTGTCACATTTTGCAATCTTACCTACAAAACATATCAACAAAAATGATAAAACCAAAGACATGTAAGCATATATCATAAATTTTAACAATCGAAGATCTTCTGTCCCACTCATCTATGTCTTTCTGTTCCAAACAATACCGTCTTTGGAACAGAGGATTAGATGAGAGCGAAACAAAAGATTATATTCTAAAATGAGCTACTATTGAAAGGGCATTCATTACATTGAACTTGTAGTGCCTTGTAATGCTTGCATGCTTTGCACTTGCAACAGTGAATAATATGCAGAGTAAAACACCCACAAATGGTGGAGATGGAATAAATGAAGAAGAACCCATGTTTTGAGTGTTTGTTTAGTACTTGATTTCTCTGTACTTTGAAACAAGAAACAACAATAAAGCCAAGCTTGCTTGTACTTTAATTGCAGCTTCTCTCTCAGTGCATGGAATGATTCATGAAAGCCCAGTGGTGATGTTTATATAGAGGCATAGGGTTAAGGAGTGTTTGGTTGATTAGGTAATCAATGCTTTAGATTTTCTCTGGAAAAAAAAAATTACAGACAGAGATTTCATGTGGAAAAAAATAATCAGTAAAAATAGATAGGCCAACTGTTGGTCCAACTTCATTCACTGTTGGAGTGTTATTGAAGTCAATTTTTTTGATTTGAACTCCTAATTATTGTCAAACATTATCTTCATGGTGGTTTTTGTTTTTTTTTTCCCAATTGCACCCAAGTGTGAATTAGCTAGATGATTCCAATCTATACCTTAGAAACTGTGTCTTGGAGGACATTTATGTCATGTTGTTTGATATTGCATATCTTAACATAGCGGAATAGTGAATAATGATTCACGGATACAAGATTTTTGTTTGGTTGGTTTGATTTGTATGATATTGCCAACTGTTGGTATTTGTTTAACTGTAATCATTATTTGACTCCTGATCCTCTACAGTTTGATTATGAAATTGATTCTACACAAAATATTTTACTGATTGTTGAGCAACAATCACATTTTAAGTGTGATAATTCTTATCTCACACAATTAATTAGTATCTTTTTTATTTAAGAATTCTTTTAATCATAGATAGCATTGTTATTCTATTTTTATTTTTAAAATTAGTTGACATACATATCTTATGTGGATCACATAAATTTATTTTATAATTAACTTCATAAGTTAACCACATATGATATTCGTGATATTCGATTGACTTGATTCTAAAATCTCACTTCACTAGCATCTAAATATCCTCTCATAACCACTTAAATTACAATCCAGATCAAATTATGCAGAGATCATTTGAGATTGCCTTTTTAGTAGTTTTTTGTTTACTTTTATTTATTTATCATTAGTGATATTTTTTTTAATTAGAAAACTTTAGCTTTCAGAATTTACCATACTAGACCTAATGTAAAAGTAAAAAAAAATTTAAAAGAGTCTACTAAAGATCAAAAAAAAAAAAAAAAAAAGAATTCAAAATTCTTCTACACTAACGGACCGGAAAAAGAAAATTTGGCACAAATTTTAAAAAAAAAATGCTAAAGCAAAAAAAAAAAAAAAAAAAAAAAAAAAAAATTTAACTGAATGCCAAACAAGTATATATTAGATGGTGATTATATATATCTAGAGATTAATCTCAGCGAAGTTCCAAATACCCTTAAAAAATAAGTTCATTTCAACCGTTAATCTTGGTGGAGAAGACAAATCATGAGGGATACCATCCTCTTGATCTTCCAAAAGAATCTTTTCCAAATGTGAGTCTTGTTTGTGAAAATGGTTACTCTGTGCACCAGGGCTTAATCATTGTCATGTAGGACTTTTGATTGAGATATTAACATCGGTTGGTGATGACATATATATATCTCCCAACCAAAATAGGGGTTTAAATAAGGACTGCTTATACCACAAAAAGAGAGGGACATTTGACCCGCCTTTCTTCCAAGCAACAGAAGAATAATGATAAAGATATTAGGTCTGTTTGCTTTATTCCAATTTGTTTACTCTAAACGAACTAATCACTGAAACTTAAACACCAAGCTAATTAAACCAACATTTAAGCAAAATACATTAATATCAAATGGGTGAGTTATAAAAGTTTATTATAATATAATAAGTCTAGCAACTATGTAATTATTGCACTAGCATATGATCAGTTAATCACTGGGATATATTTTTGTAGTTACACCAACCATCCCCCTTGTAGCATACTTGTTTTGTTAAAAAATAATAATAATATGAATACATAATTTAAGACAAGAATATTGTGATAATCATATTTTTGTAATTGAAAATTAAAGTGATGAGTATTTTGACTTTCAATGAATAAACATAAATAACACTATCATTTTATATATAAATTCTAGTATTTGTATAGCATACAATTTGATATATTTTATTTTTCTTTCATGTTCTTTGGTACTTGAACATACTCAAAGCAAGAGTAGATAGATGGATTTGAAAGCAAATACATTTTAGAAAACAGACAATAAAAGAATGATAAAAGGTACTAAGGTCAAGTTTGGCATATTGTAAAAAAGTTAAAAAGTCAAAAAATTATTCAAAAAGTTAAAAAGTTAACACTATTCACCAAAAGTCAACAATTACGGCTGCACAACTCTCAATCATAATTTTTCCTAACAAATCAATTTTTACAATTTTTTATTACACATTTTTCCATAAAAAGTCAAAAAGTTAACCTAAACATCCATATTTTCTTCCTCAATTTTTTAGTCTAAAAAGACAAAAAGTACACTTATTTAGGACACTCCAAACAACTCCTAAATTGAAAGATTTTAAGTCACATGAACTACTGTAGTTCATAGAAATGGAAATTCTTTATTTGCTTATATTTTATTGGTTTGTAAAGAAAAAGAGGTGCGTAGAAAGAAACAAGTGATCTGAATTCAGAACTAGAAAATAACTCATAACTTAGACAATTAGAAACTTATCATAATTGTTGTGCAATGATTAACTAGTGATCAATTATTTATTTATATTGATGGAGATGTGATCCAGGTCCAGTGGCGAGCTGTGCAAGGGTCGGAAGGCATGGCACCCCATTAAACATAAAGATCCTTAAGTTTGGGCACATGAATCAAAATTCTAATGCCGCCCCTGCCACATTGTTTGAGAATGACTAAAGCAAAGTGGTTGGTCAGAGTTTGGCAAGCGATATGAAGTAGAGTATTTGATTAAAGTGGCCAAGTGCACCGAGTAGATTATATAGACTAGTCGAGCTAACTAGTTAAGGTTAACTACAAGCACTCTTAAACTCACCTTTATAATGAAGGCCAAGTTTGAGAAGCGTAAAAAAAATTAAAAAATTATTTAAAAAGTTAAAAAATTATCACTATTTATCAAAAGTCAAAAATTACGACTGTACAACTCTTAAATAATTAAAATTTCAAAAAAGTTAACTAAAATTTAATCAACATATATAATAGAAAAGGTAGGCCTTGTAGATTAAAAAGTCAAATGAAAAAAAAAAAAAATGATGTAAAGTCTAAGCAAAAAGAATTACAGGACATGGACTCGACATTAAAAAGACACCCAAGGCTCTGGTATGGGGTGTCAATTGGACAAGTCAGAACCTCAAAACATTCTCTACAAACCACATCTGAGGGATATAAGTTGGTGGAATTCATAAATTTTTTATGGTTCATGATTAGTCCAAGTCTTGATGAACATAGTTCATAACCTGACATCAACAACCGATTCCGAGGCCCACAGCGACCAAATTTCCTTTCTACAAAAGTAGGAGGGGGCATACATAAAAAATTTAAGTGTACAATGTTTGATTTCTGCTAAACAGAACAACAACCAAACATGATTATGTCCAATAAAAAGTTATCTGTTATGACCAACTAGAAATTAACAAACACTAAACATTAATGTTGTGTTTGGTTAGGAGATTTGGTGAGGGATTTGGAAAGGGAAAGGGAAAAAATGTGTGAAATTATGTGAAATGTAGGTATTTTTTTTCACATTTCACCTACCTTTTCCATTTCCCTTTCCAAATCTCTCATCAAATCCCTCAACCAAACACAGCATAAGGAAACTTTGACCAAATGAAAATTTGCACAAACATTAAATATAAACAATAAATAAATAAAATAAAATAAACTTATACAAATATACTTAATATATTATTAAAATAAACATTAATAATTTATATATCTTTGTGTTTATGAACTCATTCAAACCAAGCTCTTTATTCCAACTTGACTCGATTATTAAACAAGCCAAGCATCAAAACGTGGTGCAATTTTTGTCTCAATTTTTGGTAAAATTTGAAATTCCAAATTCGATAACTACTCCACATCAAGTTCGTTTGGGATGTGGGTTGGCTTTTTGGCTATTTTAGTATGGGGTTAAAAAGGTCTTGTTTGGGATTGATTTTTTGGCTTTTTTGACTTTTGTGAGAGAAAAAATGAAATGATTAGAGATTAGATGTGACATTTTGTCTTATTCAACTAAAATAGCCTATTTTATCCTATATGATTATTTTAGTCCAAACGCCCAGGAGCCTTCCAAGTCATGCCTGGTTGACCAGTTCTTGAAACTGATGCAAGTGATTATTGCTGGGGTGCTATTTCTCCTTTAAGAAAATAAAAATGGTAAGTATCTTTGTGGATACAAAAGTGGTGCTGACCTACAGAAAATCATCGTCTCTGATCTTTAGCAAAAAGTTATGGTTGTCCACATAATAATTGCAGGTGGTCCATCACGCTGATCCAACCAGCTGCATCATGCATGGCCTTGAGTTTTGGTGTCAATGCCAATGCCTATTCCTAGGCCAACAGTGTTGAAATGAAAGGAGCAGAAGAGTAAGCCACAGTCACTAGAAATAGCCACGGATCCATGAGGTTGGCTTGGAATTGCAAAAGACAGCAGCAGTTGAGTAATCAAAGACAAGCATATCTATATTCTAACCAATTATTTAACAAGTTCAATTTACTATGATGAGACTAATGTTTTTGAAATTTTGGGAAGCAAAGCTCTGATTCAATTAGATTTTTCTGTATTATTGCTTTCTGCATTGATGCAAGCTAGGGTGCAGCAGAACATAGAGTATATTAAAATCTACACAGATGGGAACTACATTAGTATCCAGAACAATATGGAAATTTACAATTACCAAAAAATAAAAAAGCTCAAAAGCTAGTAAGTCACAAAAACTCCAAAACTGTTCAAAGGGTACAAAGGTTTGCTGCATTTTCTCTGTTTCTTGTACTCATGCAAGTCGGAGCACAGTGGACTGAGGTCTACCCACATGGGATTATGCAGCATGTAGAACCAAAAACAAAAACAAAGACAAGAATCAAAAAATCTAAAAGCTAATACTTGAGCAAGAACTCTGGAAATGTTCCAAAGGATAAGATCAACATCAAACCTCAGAAAGAGAGAGGGACATAAGCTATACACAGTTAACTGACAATAAATAAATGAACAAGAGAAAGA